ATTAAAACCTCCGGTATATTATCAGAAAGATATAGCTCTAGCCTCAGGGAACTATTTTTCACCGATGCTTAATAATGTTTGAATCGCTAAAAATTCTTAACAATTCGGATGACAAAATTACACTATATCCAATGCAAACTCGTTTTTATTATTTACATTATCTGATAACATACTATAGCGCTGCCAACTAGATGGGGTGTCCAAAGCAAACATAGATTTAAAGTGTAGGGTAACTACTTTGGTGTAAAAAAGTATGTTAGGCTTAAAAAGATGGAAATGCATCTTTCCCCATGTACCCCTATATTGTGAAAATTGTTAGTTGTGAATAATAATATAATCATGGAAAATTATTTTAGCAACCTTACCATTGGATGCCTATTTTACCCTCACCACCAAAAGAAAGTACAAGGAAAAAGTATTTAAGCTTTAATATAAAAATGTAGACAAAGAAATATCAAAGAAATATCTGATTTTGTTATCATAGAACATTCATTGGGTGTACAATTCACCCTGACCATTACCATACATGGATTCAACGCTTTCATTTGTTTTAATTTTTAATTTTGCATAACTCATCCCTTTGTTTGGATTTGTTTTACGTTCGAGTAAATTTTCAGCATTTGAACGCTTAATAGAAAAACAAACAAATTAATAAAGAGAATACGTTTAAGCTTTTGCTTTGTCCCTCCCTCCCATCCGTATGGTGAGGTCATGTGAAGGGAATATAAATAAAACTCCATAAACTTGAGGTTCAACTCAAATTGTAGCAAACAAGTAATGCTCGATAGTGTATAGCAAATGGAGTGAGCAAAACGCAAAACAGTATGTTTAAGATCGAACCATAATACACAAACATTTCGCTGATTCCACGAGTCTCCTGTCATGTACTACAGTGTACATGAACAATTACTTCCTTTCCTCCAAGCGCACTTACATTACCTTTAGCGATTTCGTGAGAAACAAATTTTCTTGTGCCAAGCACCTAAATCAACTTTTCCAATCAATCATTTCAAATTTTGTTTACACTTCCGTCCGTTCAATGAAACAAGTCAATTGCGCTTCGGCGGCGTCCCTCTTAGCTTGCACTCAACAATCGTTTAAAAGCCAAAGAGGTACATACTGGAAATAAACTCTAGACGTATCGTGCACGTACACTTCGAAGAAGAGAAACCTTACCATAAAGCTCATACTGCTACTAGTCAGCGTCAAACTTTGCCATCGAACCGTCAGTTTAAACTGAACCACTATATTTGTTGGTTTAACCGTGAAGGGCTACGTTTGAAGAATGCAGTAGAAGGAAAGTTTTAATTACAAAGTGTTAATTACCTTTCAGCTGTGAACTGCTTCGATTAAAACGTCAATTTGCCGGTAAAGTTGAGTTCCCTCCGAGACGAACCAGCTCAGAGCTGAAAGTCTCTATACTAAAGTAAAATAAGAAGAAGAGGTTGAGTTCCCGTAGGTATACAAAACAAGTGTTCAAAAGGAACAACAGCGGGTAAACGTAACTTGAGAGAGCTAAACTTTGTTTTAGTTGAAGCTCGTTGGCTGCAAGAAAATGATTTACTCAGTGGCGTACCATGACTGGGTGATACTCACGCGGGTTATGCGGGTGTCACCCCTTATGAATCAGATGCATTTTTTGCAACACTCATTTGCAGAGAACATGGATAGAAAAAAATCATGCGAGTGGGGGTTGGCGGGCTATTAACCGTGTATTAATTTCCTCAAATCAGCATTGTAGTTGGGGTTGTCGTCGACTATCTTTTATCGGGATCGACAATTTTGTGTTTTCATAAGGGGAAACATAAGCAACACACACCATAGTTGTAAAGTTTTTTTTATAAACACTATAGTTTAAATTTCTTTAATGATATAAGACGTTTTACGAAACCTTTGGTGCAAATACATACGCTTTAGGTTACTTCATGGTTATTTAAGAGAGCGTCAAAGTTCTACTTTGAAAAAAAAAAACCGTTGCAACTTCAATGATCGAACATATTTAACTATTTTCAGAAACTAACATGTGCTGAACAAAGCTTGTCAAATTAAGTCAACTGAAGTTAAGTCAAGAGAATTTATATATTAAAAACCATTCTTATATATTGAGCCAAGGTGTCCCTTTCTCTGGTTTTTCATAAAAGTTGCATCCGCATATTAATATAGCGACACATTTTACGACGACAGCACTGCTAGTAACTGATTTTCAAAATCAGTTCATCCTAATGATTAGACTACAAGGTTGGGAAGAACTACGAGAGGAAGTTTCAAGAAACTTCCAAAAGAAGTTACAAGGCTTGCTCGGGCAACGAGGGGTAAAAAACATCAAGGAAAACTAAAGCATTAGGAGATAAATCCGAGAAATTGGAAGATCCTTCACTGTTTTCATTATTTTAGTACTATAAGTTAAACTTTAGGAGAAATTTTTAATTTTAACCACATTATCCTCTCGGATGTAACCTCTCTAAGGCCTTTCGACCAAACCAGACAACGGCACTGGATTTTCTAGTTTTGTTTTGGTTCAGAGTTTGAATTTTAATTTGAGAAGTTTGCCCCATGCCTGTTGTTTCAGGGGAATTCGCATGGAAATATAGAGAAAGGAATTCAGTCTTTCGAAAGTGTGCATTTTGCAATTAATTCCTTGCTGCGTTGCTTACTCCTTATATTATAGCGCATTGCGTGCATAATAAGTGCGACGAAAATTGCGGAAATGCTAATAAAAGTGCACTTTTACGTTAAATCATATTGCTGTCTTCCCAACTAACCTTTTCAGTTGCAGATTAGTTTAAACATACAAAAATTGCGATTCCGCACTTTTGAGGAGACAAGTTAGAAACGTAAAATACAATATGAATTGTCAAACTTGCTCAAGCTGAATACATAAAAAATATGGTTAGAGACATTTCCCCTATGATTGTACTTGCCACATAATTATACTAATGGTACAGGCATCGAAAGGTCTCAGATAATAACTGTGGAAGTGCATCTAGAACACTAAGTTGAGAGCCGCAATAGGCTAATATGCGATAAGCGATAAGCTTTCAACGTGACGAAGAAGAAGAAAAAGAAGAAAAATAACACCTCCAAGTCACGCTGGAAAACATCAAACGCAACCCTCTCAAACCGAATGCATTTCAACTTTCAACTTGATAGCACCACCGTGCCCCCACACAAGAAACACCTAACGACAAAAAGCAAACAAATACCCTTTTCAATTCTCCCCCTTATTTTGTATTTTTTGTGTGCGTGTGTGTGTTTTTGTGTTGTTTCGTTAAAAAATGTATAATTACAGAGCCGAACTAACGTTGAATAGGATTAAGTACATGTTTTAGAAATAGTGAAATTTTTGCATCATAAATCACACTTCAAATCTCCTTCTCCCTCTCCACATCCATAAAATTGTCATCCACTAACTTAGAGAAGACCGCGAGTATTCGGTTGAATTCCTTTAACTTCAAGATTTAAGGCATTACTATTATATAACGGAAATGATAATTTGGCCCTGTAAAGTTTATTAGATTGAGCCTGTCCTAATAAAATGATTAGCAAAATATTTTTTTCCAATAGCCCTTTCTTCCTAATAAATGGATTCCTTCTCTCAACCTACCGCCTCAAATGTTTTATGAACAAAATATCTGACCCTTCTTACGAATTTGAAACTACCCAATGTGCACCATATGTGTCTAATCTGATCCTGGGCACTTATCTTACCACCACTGCATTTGTTTTTGATTTCTTAAGGGACCTAAATCGCCTCAATCGCATGATGGGTTTTTGATCAGAAAAAAGGCCACTGCCCCTGGGGTAGCCGGAACATGTTCGGATGTGTCCAATGTGGTTCTGAGTTCTTAATATAACCACTATAGCATTTGTTTTTGAATTCCCATGAGATTAGAGGTGTCAAATGATACGTTTTGGTCCATATCAGAAACTGGCCACTTCCCCTGGGGTAGCCAGAATATGTCAGAATGTGGAAAACTTCATCCTGGACGCTTAAAATGATAACAATTGAACTACTTTTTCAGTTCTCATGCGGTTTGAGACGTTACATGATGACTCACGACCCAACATATTCCAGCCTCATCTCCGGAACCGATTGACCGATTCCAAAAATATTCTGTGATCCAGTGGTTGCTGTGAAACACGTCACCCAAAGTTTTGTAACACACAACATGTTCTGATCTCGTCGAGCTGAGTCGGCCCAAAATAGGGGCATTTAGGCCGATATTAGATCAATATACCAATACAGACAATTCCTCTTACAGCGCTGCCAAATTCAAATTCAAAAAATATAATTGACAAAAATGATAAATGATTTCATTCTCGTCAATCTAAGCAGCGTTCGTACTTCCATGGGGATCATTTCATCACAGCGTAGTGCACACATATCAAAGTATTGGTTTGGTTACATTTACATTTTTCTGGCAACACTGCTAGCTACGTTTTCTGCTGCGATTAGGTCGTTAATTAGTGATACTTTTTTCTGTGTTATATCGGTTATAAAATACTTTTTCGTCGTTCGTGATTCAGTTTTTGTACTACTGCTTTCTGTTTTCGTGAATTTCGTTCGGTGTGTTGTGATTTTCGTGGTGCGGTGATATAGTGAAAGTGACTCATTGTTTACATACACTTTCCCAAGCACTCCCCACGCGAATTTTTTTTTTCCGAAGCGCCATCTGCCAGCAAAACTTTTAAGCTTGCAATCTTTCATTGAGCTCGTGGTGTAACTGCTGCATAAATTTCGGCGAATTGCTGTCGTCTGGACCCTACTGTTGTATTGCGCTACGTTGGAATTTCGTTGTTGGTCTGCATCGCCTTGTTCCTGCAAAATGAGTGTAATCTGCCACGCTTGCACCAATGATGTCCAAGAGGAATGCATTACCTGCCGTGGGTTCTGTAGCGCGGTGTTTCACCTAAAATGCTGTCACCTGCCAAGTGAAATGTTGGATGAAATCGATCGGAATAGGCAGCTCTTCTGGATGTGTAAATCCTGTGCTGCCATAATGTCAGACGTTCGTCACAAGAAAAACGTGAAGGCTGCTTACGATGCTGGTTTGGAGAAACAACTGAGCGGTCATACTGAGCTACTGGGGAAACTAAAACTGGAAATTCTGGAGGAATTGAAAATCGAAATTCGATCCAATTTCACAAAGTTGACCAATACCACTTCCACCACTCCGGTGTCCTCTAGACGGTCTGGTAATAGGTCACGCACCATAGGAAGCCGACGGTTATTCGAGAAAAAGGACAATAACTTGCCACCTCTTATGACTGCTACCGGAGATTCGCCGTCTCCAAGTCTAGGCCGTCTAACTGTTCCCGTTTCTAAGGATAAGTTTTGGTTATACCTATCTCGGATTTCCCGTGACGTTTCTGCTGAGCAGATCACCGAACTTGCCAAGCATCGTTTGTCAACTGAGGATGTTGAAGTTATCCGACTGGTTGCTAAGAGTAAAGATATCCAAACCATGTCGTTTGTCTCCTTCAAAGTAGGCGTCTCTACAAATTTGAAGGCGAAAGCATTGTCGTCCTCTACATGGCCCAAAGGAATGCTGTTTCGTGAATTTGTTGACAACCGCAAAGCCGAAAATTTTTGGAAGCCGCCTGGATTGCCAATAAATACACCGCAGACAACTCCGAAATCCAGCGAGTCACCTCATCAAATGCCTATGACGGAGTGATATCACTGAGTCAAGACCCAGAGCCACTACGCCGTATTACCTACTACCCGAATCCGGGACGCTGTATGAGTCCGGAAAAGGGGTCTTCCAAAATCCAACTGCAGGCGAGTATTCTAGTTTTCCGAACAATTCTGTCCCTGAAACGCTTATCACTTCTAGTCGTAATTCGTCAATAAACTCGTTCGTGGTTTACCCTAGTCGGACACCGGGACGCACACTTGCCGCATGCTTTTTGGAAGCCCCTAATTCACCCATCGCAGTCGAGCCAATTCTGCCAGCGACCTCCAGCCGTCCCGGTCCTGCGTTTGGATGTGAAGATGGGGTCTTCCGAAACCCTATTTCAGGCAAGTACGATGATAATTCGAGCAATTCTCTTCCTAAAATGTATGATGCTTACAGCCGCTTATTGCAAAACAAATGACATCCTGTTGTCTTCAACATGCCACTGGGACGCACACTTGCCGCCAGCCTTGTGGAAGCCCCTAGTCCTCTCATCGCAGTCGAGCCTAAGCTGCCAGCGTTCAACAGTCGTCCCAGCTCTGCGCATGAGTTGAGAGAGGGGGTCTTCCAAAATCAAACCGTAGGCAAGTACAGTCAGCAAACAACAACTTCTCTGCCTGTAAATATCTTGGTTTCCAGAGTACCATCTTACGTCTCTGCTCCACGACAATTGTGGTCTAATATTGACAATAACAGCACACCAGCCTCACCATGTTCAATCCAGTTGCCGCTGCACGTCGCAGGTAATTCTCCAGAAGCATCGAGGCCCTCTGACCTTGTCCTGCAAGATGCTGTTTTTGTTCATCGCAACCGACTCGTTCCTGAGATTGAAAGTGGTAGTCCTGTGATCCACCCAGTCTGCGCTCAGACTCAACAGATTACTGGCATGCCTCCCTCAAATTCTTCTTCTCAACTTCGTATCTTCTATCAAAATGTCCGTGGACTCCGAACGAAGATCGATGCCTTCTATCTCGCTGCGGCAGATTCGGAGTATGATGTGATAGTTCTAACCGAGACGTGGCTCGACACTTGCATCCTATCAACTCAGCTATTTGGTGGATCATTCACTGTTTTTCGGACTGATCGCAATCCACTGAACAGTAGAAAGCTGCGCGGCGGTGGAGTTTTGATTGCAGTGTCTACCAGATTGTGCTGCTGTGTCGACCCAGCTCCAGTTAGTGATGCTTTGGAACAGCTGTGGGTAAAAATCAAATTGCAAACGTGTTCAGTCAGTATTGGAGTATTATATCTACCACCTGATCGTAAAGATGATCTGTCCCTCATTCAGCTTCATAGCGATTCTGTTAGTTCAGTAATATCATGCTTGAAACCTCATGATTTTGCGCTTCAGTTCGGTGACTACAATCACCCCAACATGCATTGGACTGCTTCAGAGGATGGCGGACTTCATATAGATTCCAGTATATCCCGTTTTTCAACTTCGGATGGTGCTCTATATGATGCCTTTTGTTTCAATGGTCTGACGCAAATCAACTCTGTGAAAAATGCCAGTTCTCGTACTCTTGACTTAGTACTGGTGAACGATACAGCACTACCTAACTGCAGCATTTCTGAAGCGGTTGAATCTCTTGTAGAACTCGACACTGCACATCCCGCTATTGAGGTTGCCGTTTCTTTGCCGTCACCAGTGAGATTTGATCAGCCACACGAGAACCCGCAATTTGATTTCCGCCGTGTCAACTATGACTTGATGAGTGAAGCATTTTCTGTGATTGATTGGCAATTTTTGGATGACGAACGAGATCTGGATGACATCGTTGAGTCGTTCAACTCTGAGATACGTCGTGTTATCGAAGCTCACGTGCCACTTCAGCGTCCTACTCTGAAACCTCCATGGACAAACAATCGGCTTCGTAGATTGAAGCGCCGTCGACGTACTGCTCTTCGGAAATTCAAACGTAATCGATCACAACACCTGAAACGTCGTTTTGTTCTGGCCAGCAATAAATACACTAGCTTTAACCGCGAAATGTATGCTCGTTATATAGACCGTACGCAGAGAAATCTACGCCTGCATCCCAAACGTTTCTGGTCATTTGTTCGGTCGAAGCGTAAGGAAAATGGGTTACCTTCGTCTATGTATCTCGGTGCCCGCTCTGCTAGCACAGATGCCCACAAGTGTGAGCTGTTTGCTGATCACTTCAAGAGTGCCTTCTCGGACATGTCGATTTCATCCTCGCATCTAAATGCAGCCATCCATGACACACCATCAGATAGGCTCGACTTTGGAATTTTCCAAATCACTGAGGAGCACGTACAAAAAGCGATACGTAAACTTAAACATTCTGCGTCATACGGTTCGGATGGTATTCCTGCATGCATTCTTAAGAATTGCTCAAGTGTCTTATTGATGCCGCTAGTGAAATTGTTTAATATTTCATTACAGCGAATGACATTCCCATCCGCGTGGAAGACTTCGGTCATGATTCCTATTCACAAAAAGGGGGACAAGTGTGATATTTCCAATTACCGCGGGATAACGTCGTTGAATGCTTGCTCCAAACTCTTTGAGATAATCGTGAACGATGCCTTGTTCGAAGCTAGCAAGAATTACATCTCTAGTGCCCAGCATGGATTTTTTCCAAAAAGATCTGTGACAACGAACCTCACTCAATTCACTTCATTGTGCATTCGATCGATGGACGCTGGCATGCAAGTAGATGCTATATACACTGATTTCAAAGCTGCATTCGACCGAGTGAACCATGCTATTCTGCTTCGAAAACTCGAGAAATTTGGAGTATCCGTCGCCTTTGTTCGTTGGTTCGAATCATACCTGTCAGGACGGTCTATGAAAGTTAAATTAGGCTCCTCACATTCAACCGCCTTCCCGATTGTATCCGGAGTTCCACAAGGGAGCAACCTAGGCCCCCTATTGTTTTCGCTTTTCATTAATGATGCATCGTTTGTTTTACCATCTGGAAATCGTGTTTTCTACGCCGATGATGTTAAGATTTACATGGTAATCACATGCATCGAGGACTGTGCCTACCTGCAGAGTTTGTTGGAGTCATTTGAGGATTGGAGCAAACGGAACTTACTGGAACTGTGTGTAACGAAATGCAACACTATTTCGTTTTCCAGAAAACGTCATCCGATCATCTTCCACTATCGTCTTGCTGGTCATGATCTAGAACGGCTGAATCAGGTTAGAGACCTTGGTGTGATATTGGACTCTGAACTTAACCTCCGGACACATTATGCTGATGTGATTTCAAAAGCGAATAGGCAGCTTGGATTTATCTTTAAACTTGCCGATGGATTCCGTGACCCTCAGTGTCTGAAATCACTGTACTGCGCCTTGGTTCGCTCGATCCTTGAATCTGCTGTAATAGTTTGGTGTCCGTACAGCAGTATATGGGTTGACCGTATAGAATCGGTTCAAAGAAAATTTGTGCGCCTAGCTCTTCGTTATCTACCTTGGCGTGAACATCTAAATCTACCTCCCTACGAACATCGATGCATGCTGTTAGGAATTGAAACACTGGAGAAACGAAGGTCTGTCATGCAAGCGGTTTTTGTCGCCAAAGTATTAACTAGTGAGGTGGATGCACCTGCCATTCTTGCCGATATCAACGTTTATGTACCTGAACGCCCCCTTCGTCGGCGTAACTTCCTGCATTTGGCATCCCGCAACAGTCGATACGGGCAACACGACCCAATACGGTTCATGGCCTCTCGCTTCAATGATGTATCTGAGCTTTTCGACTTTGAAGCTTCTGCAGCTACTTTTCAACGCCGCCTAAGTAATCGATTGTAAAGCTGTTATGTGCATGGATTGATTATGAGCAGGTGAGTGACTGTCCATCCCCTGATGACTGTATGAATTGTGCTACCTGTTTTCATTTTTGTTTCCGGTTGCTTTCGACCCTTCCACGAGGACTTGACAATCAATGACGATGCTGCACTGTTGCTGACACACTTTTATGACACTGACCGCATTTTAACGTTTTTAATTTACACTGTAGTAATTATTGTATTTTGCATTGTTTTTGCTGTGAACTGTGTGATTGTTAATGTTTAGTTTCTGTTTCTATGTACTTAATTTAAGAAAAGAAACAGGGTTTTTATGCCAATTTGAGTTCACCATGACTCAATTTGGCTTTTCCCTGTCCAACTTCATTAAGACAACCTTGTCAGATGGAGGAATACAAATAAACAAATAAACAAATTTGTTTGCTGCACGCTGCGTTTGCCATTTAAATCTAAAACAGCTATAAGTCGTTTTTACAACATTATACAATTTTAAAGTGAGTGAGGATTGGGAAAAGTGAGTGAGGATTGTGAAAAGTTCGAAAACTCAAATCTCATGTTTAAGTTTATTCGCCTACGAGTTTTGCATTGCAAAATTTACAGATGAGATTTCCGGATCAAAAATCTGAATGGGCCTCCAAAATTGTACATTTTTTATCTGTCCGGCAATTTATAAATTATTAAAATCATTATATAGGGAAAATGGCTCTAATGTTTGCATATCGATCATAGATTGGGCCCATCGCATAAAATCTGCTATTTATCATTTTTTTTTCCAGATATACGCGTCATTGGGACGGTACTTAAGGATATTTTGGTCGCTATTGAAAATTTAGTCGATTGCTGAATTTATATATGGGCCCAAAATAAAGACATTTAGGCCGACATTACATCCATTTTCCCTATTTCACCATGTCCGAAAATGCAGAACAATGTCAACTTCCTTAATAATAGATATGTTTCTTATACCGAGATCTTGAATGTTTACCAAATTCTGAATCATTAAATTGTTTAAAGCCTTCAGCGGTTCAGTATCATGAACATTTGTCAAATTTTGAGATAACAAATATCAAAATCAATTGAAAAGCAGCTATCCTCTATCAAAGGGGACGTCCTTCGCATGGGTGATATCAGTTGCTTAGTCATTTGACAAAGGCATGGATCATTCTCATTTGAGAAACGCTTGATATCATTCAATTGAGTGTAACCTACATATAAACGGAGCT